AAAATAATGTTGAATATATTTGCATAACTTATTTTGTATTTGTCCAAAAGTAGATAAAAGAAATTTTTCATGCACTCCTATCAGGCATGTATTATACATATATAAAAATGATCGAATCAAATATTATCGCGAACTAGAAGTTCATTGATCAAAATTTTTTTATACTTTGACATGATTAACTTGGGCATTTAGGAGCTATAATGATTAGTCGAATAATAAACAACTCACATATACATCCTTTAAAGAACAATAAAATTCTTTTACCTAATGATTATCCATATATAGCTTATTTGTAAGGCAAGTTAGTTATTAGACATTCGGCTACGAAAATTAATATTGAATATCCAACTTTCTTGGAAAAATTCATGGAGATATAGGTGGACCAATGCACCTACCATGTGGATCATTTCGTTATTTTATGGTATTATTGATTCTTCTACTAGATGGTCACATGTTTGCCTACTTTCCACAAGAAATATAGTTTTTTCTTGACTACTTGCTCAAATCATAAAATTACGGGTGCAATTCTCTGATTATTCAATCAAGACTATTCNTAAAATTACGGGTGCAATTCTCTGATTATTCAATCAAGACTATTCGTCTTGACAATACTGGTGAATTTAGATCACAAGCATTCGATGATTATTGTATGTCAATTGGGATTATTATTGAACATTCAGTTGCACATGTCCATACATAAATTGGTTTAGCAGAGTCATTTATTAAATATCTACAACTTTTTGTTAGACTATTACTTATGAAAACAAAACTCAGCTTCTGTTTGGGGTCATGCTATATTACATGCTGCGTCATTTGCTCATATCAATATTCATCTTTGCAATTGGCATTCTGTCATTAACATAATATTTACTCACTTGTGGATTTTTGGTTGTGTTGTTCAAGTCCCTATTTCACTCCCACAACGAAGATTTAAGATTTATGTCGCTTTTGATTTACCATCTATTATTAGGTATTTTGAACTTTTAACGTGTGATTTATTTAATGCACGTTTTGCAGATTGTCATTTGATGAAATGAATTTCCTAATTTTGAGAGGGTAAAAACTACATTCAGATAAATAAGATAAAATTTCTTGGAATGAAACAACTTTATTTTACTTTGATCCACTTAGCAATCAGTGTGAGCAAAATGTTGAAAAAATCATTTATTTGTAAAGAGTTGCAAATCAATTACCAGATTTATTTATTGACATAAGAAATCGAGTCATATATATAAGATAATTTGATGTAACAAATGAATCTCAAATACGCTAGAAGTACGATCGGCCAGTTGGTTCAAAAGATTCTATACCTCGAAAAAAGTACAAGATAAAAACCAACTAAAAATTTCAGAAGAAGTAACATTGGAAAATATTGATCAATCAAATATTGAAAATATTATTTCTGAAGAACCCAAGTTCGAAAATAATGAGATTTCAATAAATTATATGTTATCTTATAAATTATGGGAACGAAATAATGTTGTTATAGACAATATTTTTACCTTTAACGTGACTCTTGATAGTATGTAAAATGAGAATCTTGGGCCACCGTTTGTTAAAGACTGTCAACATAGGAATGGTTAGTCAAAGTGAAAAAAAGCCATACAAGTAGAATTGAATTCTTTTGAGAAACAAATGATTTTTTGTACGGAAGACAAATGAAAATAATGAAATTATAAGATATAAAACCCGACTCGTAGTTCAAGGTTTCTCACAAAGACTATAAATTGATTATAAGGAAATATATTCTTCGATAATGGACATCATTACTTTTAGATTCTTAATTAGTTTGATTGTGTCGCAAAGGCTTGATATACACTTTATGGATGTAGTGACTATCTATTTGTATGGTTCACTTGATAGTAACGTATATATGAAAATACATGAAGGACTTAAGTTGCGAGGAACAAATGCTACATGTCTGAGAACCACGTTCTCAATTAAATTGAAAAGATCATTATATGGATTGAAACAATCTGGATGCATGTGTTATAATCGCCTTAGCGAATATTTGTTGAAGGAATACAATAAAAATAATGATGTTTGTCAACGTGTTTTCATAAAGAAAACAAATATTGGATTTGCAATTGTTGCAGTTTATGTTGATGATTTAAATTTAATTTAAACTTCTAAAGAATTCAACAAAATTGCAAATTATTTGAAAAATGAATTTAAGATGGAAGATTTGGAAAAAAAAATCAAATTCTCTTTTGATTTGCAGATTGAATATTTTCTAGAATGATTATTTATTTATCAATCTATATATACAGAGAAAGTGTTAAAACACTTTTATATGAATAATGCACATCAATTGACATCACTTATGGTTGTTCAATTACTTGATGTGAAAAAAAGATCATTTTCCTTCACTTGAAGATGGAGAAAAGGTTTTTAGATGCTATATTTTAGTACAATTGGAGCATTAACTTATCTTGCAAACTGTATTCGACTCGACATAACTTTTTCTGTAAATCTCCTTGCAAGATATAGTTTTACACCAATACAAAGACATTGAAATTGTGTTAAATATATTATTCATTGCCTATATGGTACTATTGATTTGTGATTATTTTATTCTCAAAAGTCGGGATTTGCTTTAAACTGATATGCGGATGCAAGTTATTTCCTTGACCCACATAAAGTTAAATCACAGATAGGATACATGGTTACACATGGAAGAAAAACTATATTATGGAGAACTGTGAAACAATCATTGACAGCAACATCCTCCAATCATTTTGAAATTATTGTAATCTATGAAGCATGTCGAGAATATGTATGGTTGAGGAATATGACCCATCATATCTAAGCATTACGCATATTAATTTTAACAAAAGATAGTTCAATAATTTTATATAAAACAATGTTGTTTGTATTGCACAATTTAAAGAAGGTTATATCAAATGTAACATAACAAAACATATTTCTCCAAAATTATTTCATACACATGAGTTTTAGAAGAACGACAACATCGATGTTCAACAAATTCGCTAAGATGGCAATGTGACTGATTTATTTACAAAAGCACATCAAACATCTACATTCAAGAAATTAGTTCACAAGATTGAAATGCGTGAACTCAAAAATTTTCTATGATCAATATCAAGAGGAATAGCTGTACTCTTTTTCCTTTGTTTATGTTTTATCACACTGAGTTTTCCTAACAAAGTTTTAATGATGCAACATTTATCCTTAATACTCTAAAATAATTGTAATATTTTTCATTCGTTTGATTTTTTGTCCCATTTGATTTTTACCAGACAAGGTTTAATGAGACAAATATTTTGTAATGTCTCATTCAAGGGGAAGTATTATAAATTGTAAGTTTATTAGTGAATGACAATTGTATCCTTACAACTAAAAATTATTACTATTGTATCACTAGTCATTCTCTATAAATATAGAGCTTTGATTCTTATTATAATACGTGTCTATTGATTTCTATTTTTCTTTCCCTTTTCTCTCTTTTCATTACAAACATTTAATTTTAACTACATATTTTACACGACTCAGAATTTTCGAACCATATATTTCATCAATTTTTATCAAAATCTACTAAAAATCTGATTTTAATCTACACCAAACAGAAACTACGCAACCATTCATGAAGTATAAAACAAGTGATAAAAAGATAAGTTAAAATCACCCACCAACTGAATGAATTTGGAAAAAAAAATTGTTTTATTCCCTAAAAATATCTGTGAGGATGGCAAAAAAACTCAATAAACTCAATATCCGCGGATCCAGTCCCGAACAAGGCGGGGATAACGTGTTTAATCGGGTATTCAGGGACAAGGCGTGGAAATTTTTCCCTGGGCGGGTTTGAGGCGGGGAAGGATAACGGGTGCCCTGCCCTGTTTATTTTTTTTTAAAGAATTCAATATTTTAAATGGAAAATTTCATGAAATTTCATTAGTTTTAATAGAAAATGGAAACTAAAATTATTTGTCTAAATCTAATGAGTGAGGATAATAATAATAAATTATCAAAAACTTAAAAAAAATTAAACGGGATAAGGACCCCGCCCCGCCTTAAACGAGTAATGGGGTGGGGACGGGGGGAATTACTTGGCTGAGCGGGGGGCGGGGGAGGTTGCCTTGACCCCGCCCCGTTGCCATCCCTAAAGATCTTCAACATTAAATATATTTATGTACAATCCTTCGGTCTGGATTTTACAGAACTCTGTGGACTGGATTTTGAGCATAAACAATGTCGTCGTTTGATATGAAGAATATACACATTGAATAGCTGATATTGATATGCTTATTCCTAGTAAAAAATGTTTAAATTTTTTTCACCTTTGATTCTTAATCCTGAAATTAGTTAAGTTATTCAGCTTAGCTCCCATGCCTGCATAAAGAAAATTGATGTTATTTGTCTATGTTCACGCATCTGGCACGTCAAAGAGAAGATTTTAGCGGTACATTACCTGAATTCTTCCATCAGATGTCCCGATAACTAAAATATCTTTATCGTTATCAAGAGCCATGCAAAGAATTTTGCTGTTGGTATTAATTTGAAGTGTTTCTACTCTAGTTTGCTTCTTTTTGCACCAAACTTCCACTATACCACTCTTACATCCCAAATATATTAGTTCCGAGCTCACAACCATTTCTCGAACTTCCAAGGTTGACGGCAGTGATCCGACCTTATTGTAATTCGAAGTGCTCCAAATCTTTTCAAAGTGAATGGAAACAAAAAGAAAACTTCAGCTTCATGACAATAACAGATTTGATCTCCCATCCACAGTAAGCAAGATAAAAACTTCTCACTGCTAACGTGGCAACAGAACCTTACTTATGGTTCTCTACGACAGTCATACATTTAAAGAACCATACTTACGATTTTCTCTGCCAAATCAACAGTGAGAAGTTTGCCCACTGGGAGTAGGAGATCAATTTTAATAATTATAATAGAAAAATAGTGGTTCTTCTTTGCGCGTGGTTAGGGGAATAATACCTTAACATTTGCTCCATCAAGAGAAGGACCAGCTGAATATATCAGTCCATCTTGAACTTGCAGTGAATAGATAGGATATGCTTTCCCAAGTAATTTCTTGGCGCCAATCTGAATATTTCCTATAGTTCCGCTGACTAAATCGATTTCCTGTAAAATCAGTTAAGCGTCAATTTATATATGGACCTCGTACATATAATGATTAAATGAAAATGTCATTTTTTGGTAGGTACCTGAATGCTATTGTCATGGCACCCGCAATATAGTTTTCCATGTACGAGAGCCAAACACTTGACATACTTGTTCTGATTTATTAATTTGGAGGATCCATTCCATGAGTGTACCTTAAAATAATTTAAATAATGAGTCAAAATCAACATTTCAACACGAAGGCCAGCAGTTTTTTATGCCACTCGGATGATATATGTAACATAGAGTAATCAATAAGACTAGACTTCACAAAATTTGTACGATCCCCTCTCCTTGCTAAGAAAATAGGAATAATTAAAAAGAAAATGCAAAGAAAATATAGAACAAACAGATTTTGTATTTTACTTTGATGCCAACTCCTTGTGGGATATAGCAAGCAATGTTATTTGAAACTACAAGGCTGTTGATGTGATCCTTCGTCTCCTGAACTTGTTCACAATGAATGCCTTCCTCCGTAATTGACCAAACCTACCAAAAGTAAGGCGAACTTTTTGCATTAACTAGCTTTATACTCTTAGTGGGACGGAAATTGTTTTGATTTATTTTGAGCGCGAATTTCGTGGTAACAAAACCAAATTGATTCAATGAGTCTTTTTCCAGACAAACAAGTATCATACCCTCACAGTCTTATCAAGGGAACCACTGTATAGCTTCCCTGTTGAATACAGCATTACTAAGCTGGTGACAGGCTTGCTGTGTTCTTGAATTTCTTGGACGAGTTGTAGTAAGGTACCTTTACAAGTCCAGACCTTTAGCATTAAAAAGGGAAAGGGATGCCATCAATCTCATGTAAGAATTATTAGATGAACGAAAATTAAACATTTGAACAAAAGCGCATACAGATTGAAGAACGGTAGACTGACCTTTATTATTCCATCTGAGTGGCCCGAGAAAATTTTGCCTTTGAAGCAAGCAATTGAAAGAACTTCGCCATTGATGCTGCAATCTTCTTGAGCTAATTCTTTGTGATTCCAAAGATCCTACAGCCCATGAACATCAGATAAGTACATAAACCGGTAGATTCCATCTGAAAAAGTGGATCTTGGGTAAAAAACTTACTGAACTGTTGTCATGCTCTTCGGAGAAGACTTGTAGCATCTCAAAGGCCAAGACAGAGGATTTCTTCAACTCTCTCAAACCTTTTAAAATATCCTTCATGTGGACAGTAAGATCTTGCAATCCGTCTGAAATTTTCAATACGTATACTATATGAGAACCCCATTTGTTCAAAAAGTCATTCCTCATCTTCTGTAGATATTTCTCTTGATTTTGTAAGATAGACATAACATGAAAAAAGGGAAAAACCTTATCAACTTTCAAATGATGCGAATCTAAATTTCATTCCTTTTCACATTGTTTTATTGGTCTGTCTAGGAAAAGTAAAAGCTTGAAAAGAAAAATACATATACGAACAAAAAATCAGCCCAGTGTCTCTCATTTCGTACAAATGTACAACTTTCCGAACATTTCTTGAAAAAATTCAGTGTATAGTTTCCATTTATCAATTAAATTGCCACACTAACCAGGGTCACGGACAAAGCTGTTCAGTGCAAGCATGGAGAGTGCTCTGTCATCAGTGTTCTTCTCGGATTTGAAAATTGAAACAAAATGCTTGAGCAAACATACACGTGCTGCTCCTCGTATCCCCGTGTCTGGAAGAACAGAGAGCATGTATATGAGCCAAGTGGCGGACATGAAGCATACTGATTGTAGCTCTGCATATCTACTTTTTAGGCCTTCAGCCAAAGCCTCAAACAGTAGTCCAAATTCATGGCTGACAAGAACAAATGCCACTTTTCTTTCCCACTCAGCAGCTTGCTCTTCCTCCTACAGATTCAGTTGGCAAAATAGTTCAAGCAATCAAAATGAGAATTGACAAGCAGTATCATGGAATTGAAATTTTGAGAAGATACTATCTTTGCTAATCTTAAGGAATGAATGGATTTCTGAAGCTATGAACCATTGCCAAATGATAAATGGAAATCTAACCATGGTTTCTTGAGTTTCATCAAATATTTTCTGGTGACGCTGATCCTTCTGCATAAACGTTTTATAACTTCTGTCAAGTCCTGCACGTTTCAGGAGAATGGCCCTGGCAAGGGATTTCCCTGAATAAGAGAACCTTCCTTGTAGGGATAAAACTGTCTCTGCAGCAGCAATTTGAGCAACAGGGTCCTCTGAATTTTTTAGGCATGAAATAAGAGTATCTATGGCCTCTTCTCGGTATATACTCATTTTTCTTGGTTCCTCCTATAAGGTATAAATCAGTTGTTAAACTACTAATACGGACACGAGAGTGCACACACACAGACCCAGAGAGAGAGAGAGAGAGAGAGAGAGACGCACTAGCAGATCAAGTTGCAGAAGCAAACCAGCCACAATAGGGCACTGATCCTGGAGAGCATTTTGTAGGTATGTAAGAAGGGTATGCATTGTACTAAAAGTACCTTCATCCTTCAAGATGTGCAAAATTTGCTCATTGATGTTTCTTCTGCAGAAGTTAGATATAGTAAGTCATGTGTTGATTCATTTTACTAAAACTGTAATAGACGCAGCAATACCTGTTCAATTTGACTAGTTCAGACAGAAAGTGAACTATTTCAAATCGTTCGACATCATTTACCAGCATAAAACTCTCCAAGAGTCGGGTTAGTTCGGCTTTTTCAGCTATAATGTTCCTGCACCTTCCATTCTCCAGTATGCATCTCAATAAGATACCTACAGCAGCAATCCTTTCCTCCACCCCTTCAGCTTCCAAGCTAACTATGATATTCTCAATTGCTTTTGTTGAAAGAATGGTTCTAACAATTTTGGATATACTTGCTTCGTCGGAACTTCGAAGAATCTGTCCTAGTAGAATCACTGAAGCTTTTTCTGGCTTTATAAACATCTTGGGAAACTCAGTATTTTTTATGCTACTAAGCATTCCTATAAGGGAATCCACCATTTCCATTTCTATGAGACTTATAGAAGAAGGTTTTAATAGATAAATCAACGCAACAGCTTCCATTAACCCTTTCTTAAATAGTGCAACAATGCATCCAACATCCGAATCAACCCTAGTAAGTGTCTGGATAACACTGTCATCTCTTGATCCAAGGTCAGATAGGAGAAGAACAGTTGCTCCCAGTACTCGAGGATCCACTGAATTGAACAGTATCTCGACAAAACCATTAATAACAGGAGGTTTCGAGAGCAAGGATTGCATTTCCATCTCCATATTGGCTTCTTGCCAAAACCGCTCAATTTTGAGGACTGCCAGTTCTGATTCCCTCAAAATTTCTGATGTACATAATTCAGTGATTGCAAGTCTCAACTCACTCATGGTGCCGTCTGTGGTGGCTTGGCCTATGACACTATTAGGAGAAGCTGAACGAATTGCCGATTTGAATTTAGGTTCATTAACTGGTTTCACGACCTCGGATTTAGCAATATCTGAACTGGGGCTCTGTTCTTTCCAGCTTGCAATCAGACGTTTAAGTACATAATTCGTTTTAGGCAGTTGTGTGCCATGCAGCTTCTGGCGTGTAATGGGACATGTCGAATTTCCCCTGTCAATCCATTCTTGAATTGCTTTTCGTTCATAAGTCTGACCTGTCTCAAGAGTTACAGGATCATCAAATATGTGTGTTGTTATAGGGCAGACAAAATCCTTTGGGGGTGTGAGCTTTCCTTCCCCGGCCTGGTTATCATAGTCTTCCATGAGATGATCTGGAGAACTGATATACCAGGAACGTCAAATTTTAAAATTAGAGTTACAGACAAGAAAAGTTGTGATTAGTACTTTGGAAATAGCATACCGGCTGGATTCCGCCAAAAAGAATTGCTTTTGTTTCTTGGATTGACTTTGTCTGGTGTCAAATGATGCTGTTTTTTGGATCTTTTCCTACACAAGTGCCTATATAAATAACTAAAAAAAAAAAGCTTTGGTATATCAGACCATAGAAAACATGTTATCATTGTTCATATCGATTACCTCTTGTTCAGCCTCAGAATCCGAAGAAGAATAATTATTCAAGTTGTCATAGGTACAAGACTCGAGTGTGGTCTCCAAGCGATGAATGGACGCTGTTTCAGATATTTTTGAGGATCTTTCATCTATGAAGATTTTCGGAGAGACTCTTTCAGGAATCAAGGATGGAAACTTTGATAGGTTTCTCACCCCATTGCTATTAAATTCAATTGATACATCTCCTTCAGTCCACATTGGCTGCAGAATTATTTTAAGAACAATTTGAGTTATTTAAACCAAATAGAGCCAGAAGGGGCAAGTACCAAGTCAAATAAATCTTGTCTTTGCATAGAAACTTCAAGGTTCAGGATTAACAATAGAAATTTGCTGGATTGCACTTATTGTTCTACTAGCATGACAACCTAGAGAAATATAAATAAAAAAGACTTAAAAAATAAAGAAATTTTATAATACTTGATGTCAAGTCTTGTAATTGCATATCTGGGCCTAATTCCGAAAATCCAAGCATTAAAAAAATATAGATTAAATTCTTTATAATATTTTAAGCATTCATACTTGCCGTTTCATGATAGAGATACCCTAAACAGAGTGAACTCAATAAGAGGTGCATTTTTTCTTTCTAAAAATTAGTAATAAGAGTATAAGTCATCCAAACAACAAATGGCAAGATTATTCTTATGGTATTAATATTCAGTCGATGGGCAAGTGGAGAACATTAGGGAGAACTAAAATTTTTTTTGAGTATTGCGGGTTCGATTTTCATATCTTGATTTCTCGACCCATAAAATCTTGAATCAGGATTTGTAATCTAAACCACAAGTCTAAAATTCCTAGTGATAATACTTGTGAAGAATGCAAAATTCACTGCAATGAATCCTATAAGTATAAACTAGTTCAAGAAGACATAAATATGAGAATGAAATAAATATCAATCACAGATTCTCAAGTTGGAAATAGCAGGAATTCAACAAAGAAAACATTACATTATACCGCCCGTTCCTTGATCCGAATTTCTGTGTTGTAATCTTCTTTTCCTCACGACGATCAAATTTATCACCACTTTTACTCTTTTGCAACACTACTGAAGGTGGAACAATCAATTGGCCTCCATCTCTGTTTCGCAAAACCTCTTTAAAAAATCCAACAAAATTCCTGCAATTTTCATCCAGTAAATCTTCATAATCACTCTCCAGATCCTTCAGAGATGTTGCTTGATCCCCACTCATTTTTGACAATACTGTCGTATTTGAAACAATTGAATAGTCATCACTATTGTAATCTGAATTCAGCGATAAAGAAGACAGAATTTTGTTTCTTTGGTCGTTGTACCATTCTAGTATAGGAAGAAAATGAATCAGAAACAATTCTTCGAACAGAAAGGGTGCAATTTCTACTCTAGCCAATGAAGGGTCTGCATAAAAAAGATCAAGAAGACAGATGGATGCATCAATGGGACGACGGCAATTTGAATAAGCCAAGGATAAAAGAAATGAAGCAAATGGGTTTTCAGATTTACAGAGGAGTTCTTCAGCGAGGCGGAGAGAGGAGGAGCGAATAGAGGAGCTAGGGGTGGAGAAGGAATTTTCTAGAGTTTCAGAGGTAAACTTGAGCTGTTTGAGGGTTGTTTGATCGGAAGAAGAGAGTTTTTGGAGGAAGGTGGTGTAGATATGGTGGCGGAGGTGGGATTGAGAGAGTGTTTCGGAGAGGAAAGCGGCAGTGTAGCGGAGGATTTGAGCTGAAGTAGTGGTGGCGGACATGGTGGTGGTGGTCGGAATAGCTGTAAAGAATGTGAAGAACTAATTGTATGTCCTTGCATGGCGCTAAAATTAAGATTATACTTGAAAATGAGACATAGTGATCTTTCATTAAAAAAACAGAAAAAACTATATTAATCTTGACAATTTTGGAGTTCCTCTGCAAAGTCATATGTGCCAATTGCAGTCCTCACCTTCTTGCCGTCCAGGCCGGCTTCTTTGGTTCCCAGTGTCGAGGTGTATATATTTCCGTTTGGTTTAAGTTATAATTATTTATAAATGATCAAACTTTATTTTCAACCGTTTTGATCCCAAATCATTTGTTTAACAAAGTAATTTCAGAAATTAAAATTTCAGAATGTAAAAAATCGAACACAAAGGAATTCTCCAGATGGTCATGTTCTTTAAATGTTACTCACCCATTGAGCATCTACATAATAAATATTGCTTCAGGTCTCGAACCTTTTTAGTTCTTTTGAAAAAATAGTTTGAGAAGCTTCAATTGGCCGAAATGAATTTCTAGACTCTCAAATTTATCGACATCCAGCTCATAAAACGAAACAAATTCTTGTTGTCGGTTATGATTTTGTATGAAAATGTTTCTCTTGCCTCACACATAGAAAGTTTACCATAGTAAACTACACTCCAATCTCACAAATATACACTCAGTACATCAAGAAATTCACTTAAGATTGCAGATAATGAAGAACATATTTGGAAGAAAACACAAGAGTAGAAACCTTTAAGTGGCACCATATACATACTGTGTGTAAAATGACTAAAAGAGGTGATCGTTTGAAAATCCGTAAGTGCAAGAGATCGTGATCAAGCAATAAAGTAGTGAATAGAGTGTCGGACCCACGAAAACTACATGCTTGATCGGGTTAAAATCAATTTCAACTTTAATTGAATAGCAAATAGATTTTGAGTTTTGTATACTAATATCTAAATTATCTTCAAACTAAAAAGTAAGTATACGTATTTTTCAAATATGTGAGATGCATTGCTAAGATGTAGAATTCCCCTTATTATTTAATTTTTAGTGTAACAATTAAATTGATAATTTGAAATCATATATGTAGGTCATTGTTTCTAATTTAATTGAAGGCCTGTCTGTATAGTGATCAAATCTATTCCTCTCATGTGACATTTCTATCTCTCGATGAAATATACAAACATGATAAATGCATTATCAAGTACTAAAATAGCTATTGAAACCATATAAAGTTTAGATGTATATCTCTATCTTCTATCGAACATTATAATGTTTATTATATTGTGCTTAAATCCTATTGTCTCTCTCGATAACAATAAAATCCACTAATAATTCAATTGGTGATCAAGCAATTGAAAAGCACGATAATACAATAATAAACATCCACAAATCAAATCATATCAAAGTCAAAATAAATAATTAAAACTAAAAATATCATAATAATGGTTCATCTCATCCTAACAATGTATAAGACTAGCCTAACATATCGAAATTAAAAGAAATCATATTTTAGTGAAAAGATATAACCCGAAGTTCTGATAAATTAAGAAGATGAAGATAAATCTTGAAATTTTGAATCTCTTCAATGGTTTCTTGATGAATCTTCATTTGGGCCTTCTCTTCTTTACCCAAAAATCAAGTTTGAATCTTCATTTGATTGAATTCTTGTAAATCTTCTTCAATTCTCTTACAAAAACAATAAATTCTCCTACTTTTATGATAATAAGTGATGAGTATTGGAGTATAATATGCACATGAAAGTTCCCACATATGTGTTCTATTGTTAGGTATTTGCAGGAGTCGAAAATTGGTGGAAAATCACCTCCAATTTGACTTCCAAAAGAGTTCCAATCAAATAAGGAAAGTTGTTTTCGTGCGCAGATTTCTTGTTTCTACACAGCAGTCAGTATTTTGGTCATATATATATGTTTCCCAATTCGAACGTTTACTATGCCAAAATGGATCTCAATCTTCGACTAAATATCTGGAATATAAATTGTGTGATGGACATTGATTGTGATAATATTTTAATCACATTCCATCCCTTTTTGAATTCAAATTCCATCCAATTGTCTCTTAAAAATATTTCAACTCATCTCTTGGTCCAAATCAACTATCAAATATTTGTAATTTAATCCCCAAACTTTGGATTTTGCCATTTTCACCAAGTTTTGCTTCTTTCATTCAATTCCTTGTCCAACCATTGAGTTTTACTTATATAACATAAAATGAGATAATTTAGAATATATTTTGTTAGAAGAACTATTAAATATCGCTATTTTAGACCCCTTTTACTTATATAACATAAAATGCAACAATTTGGGATATATTTTTTCAAAAGAATTATCAAATATCTCTATTTTAGACCCCGAATAAGTGTATAAAATACACTTATCAAATACCCCAAAACTTAAACATTTGTTTGTCCTTAAACAAAATTATAATTTAAATAATAACAAACACACAAACATGCAAAACTATTTGGTTAGGCAATTTAGCTTTTTATCTTAGTATTTGAAGTTATAGTACTAAATTTACAAACCATTTCAAAGTCACAATGCCAAATTGATATCGACTCTTCCAATGCAGAACCGACGTGTGTGTGTGAAGAATTAAATAGACAATAATGAATTTACAAGTTGCTTCAATTCCTAACTCTTTGTGGTCAAATATATTATTTCACATCTCGTATGATTCATACCCCCAAACTTGTTCTTTTTTCACTATTTTCTCGGTGTATAATCTAATGTTAAATTTTTTATTACTATCATCACCCTCTCTAGTTCAGGTGGACTTTACTAATTGTAAGTCAATACATCAATAAACAAAGATTATGCAATTATTTGATTGCTTCGACCTCTAGAACTGGACTAGGCTAATAATCCTTCATCAAAAGTCAAGTATTCTCAAATAAGTGTTTGAGGCTTAACCATAGCATTTGGTACGTTTTTTGTTTCATGCACTTGCTTTTTTTTCAAAAATTTTTTTTGCACACTCTCTCCTTTAAACTTTGTATAGGACCCGTGTAATGAGCTTTTGGCCGATAACTCCCAAATCAAATGATTTTAGAGCACCATGTTGTAAATACCCTAGCAGTTTTAATAACTCGAGTCATAAAGGCTACGAAAAGATGTCTTTTATATATTCTTCTACCATGATTAGTGCAATGCCCCTCATTAAACACTTATCTAATTAAATTGACCTCTAACTTAAGATTTTTTTTTCAATTTTATCCTATTAATCTAAGATAATCAACACATAAGTTTTCACACAATGAATCTCAATGTACATCCGTATCTTCCTACAATCGTAAAATATCCCCAAACTATGCTACATTTGGTCTAAGGATAATTAATATAGGATATTTTTGGGTATACCATCTATGTTCAACTATATTAACCTATCAATTATATGAATCAACTCATAGTATCACACTATCCAACTTAATTATAGTAAACATATAATATCAAGTTTTGCAATGTTAAGTCTCAATTAGTCTAGCATGCATCATATCCATAGTCTATAAATCAACATCAAATCTCAAATTTAATCATCATTATCTGTCAAATTATCTAACTCACACAAGCACACAGCCTAAAACATGACATTATTTTTTTGTTGAAATTTTTCATTTTTTTATTATATATTAAAACAATAATGAAGAACAAACACACAAAAACTCAAAAATACACGAAAAGTAAAAACTCAAAATTTTTCTAACCCCCAAACTTAAAATCGACATTGTCTTCAATGCCATAAAGCATAAATAATAATATGATAGGGCGATGAAGAAAAGTAAGAAGGTACTTCCCAAATTTTTCTGTGAGGCATTATATGTAACGGCTAGATAATCTTCTTTATCATGCTTTTCCATTGGTCTATTTTGGTTTGAGTATTCTACGATGTCATGTTCCGCACATAGATGTCAAATCAAAAATAAAGGTCAAATAACCTAGAACATGTGTCACTTAGCCTAAATAATTGAAACAACCAATAATAAATTCAATGGCCTAAGGGGAAACATGATAGGATGGTGATACATTATAAATTGAAATGTGCCTATAACTAATGCAACTAAGAATCAAAATAAATTTATATGTAATGCGGTATAGAAAACAGAATAAATAAAAGGGTTAGAAAATTGGGTTGCCTCCCAATAAGCGCTTAATTTATAGTTTTAGCTTAACTATATGGATAAATTGGTCATGGTGGCTCATGTTGGAATCTTGCAACCTTACATTCCTTACAATTTTCAGTCTTGCATCCTCTTTGTACCCTCCAAACTTTGAACTCTCCATTTTCATCTCGTCCAAAGTTCTCTAGATGTTTAGGTTTTATCTCATTTAACCCTTGTCAAACTTCTTCAACAACAGATTTGGCTTTATCCAGGGCTAATGGTTGGTTGGGTGGATTACGTAATTTAAAAATCTCATGTGCGTCTTCCACCCTCACAATCAGCTCACCCTTCTCCATGTCAATCAAAGTTTGAATTGTTGCTAAAAATGGTTGACCTAAGATAATTGGCGTATTGTGGTCGTCTTCGAGGTCCATAACAAGGAAGTCCGTCGGGAATATCAGTTTCCCAAATTTGATGAGCACATCCTCAACCTTGCCCCATAGGTATCTGATGCTTCTATCTACTAGTTGCAGTGTCACATTCGATCCTTTAACTTCCCCAACTCTAGTATTCTAAAAGTAGACAAAGATATTAAATTTACACTTGCACATTTATCACATAAAGCATTATAATGAAATTCTTTACCTAGTGAAATAGGTAAAGTGAAAGTCCTTGGATCCTTGAGTTTTTGTGACAATTTATTTTGTAGCCTTGTACTGCTCTCCTCGGTTAATGCCACTTCTTTCCAATCTGGAAGCTTTCTTTTCTTAGATATAGGTAATTAGCACATAATGTCTTCACATTTCACTGTTATTGTGGAAAACTTCATTACCTTTCATTTTTCGGCATTTTACCCTTATTTCCACCTTTCATTGCCCAAAATGTCATTTT